TACTAGGTGAAGGGTTAATGGCAATGTGTGAGTCTATAAGACACTAGAACTTGGTGTCTTTTATTAAAATTTGGATTGCTTTTAATTTTTAACTGATTGGGGACAGAAGCATACTAGCTTTTAATTATACTATATTCAGCTCTCCTGTTATTGCCTACCTTAATGTTCACTTAGAAATGATTCACTTGGGCTTTGTTAATTTGGGGAGGACTAGTGATGAGTCCTTGGCTTTGCTTCCCTGAAGGGTCTTACTGCCTTTATGCCTGCTTAACTTCTGCCCTTTACTTAATTTTCAGTCTTTCACAAGTCTCATTCCCTCTCTTCTCTGCTGTGGCTTTAGACCTTTCTGAGTGTCCTGATCACCTTCTACCTCCTACTGCTCCTACCCTTCATTCTGCTGCTCTCCCATAGATTGGGTTGGTTTTGTTTACGGTAGTTTACAAAAGTGGTGACTGGCTGTCCTTGCTCTACTGAGGCACAACCTGTTTCCAATGTGCTGTTTTAACATGATAATGTGCATGTAATGAAAAGAACCCCTGATTGTAGCACTGTACAATTTCCATTTTGTAAATATTTTCATCCTGGTGAACACTAAGCTCCCAATTTGATACCAGGAGTTGAGTAACCACATTGGGCAAGAAATTAACATGGTTTATATTGCCAGCAAGAACCTGGGGCTCCCTTATACCACTGATAGTGGCGCTTCTAAAGTGTATCTATACGTTTACCAAGATAATAAAGTGAGTTGTGTATTATTTCATTTCATTTCATTGGTGACTATGAATCATTACTGTCATGTCCTAGGTACTTCAATAGATTATAACATTCAGAGAGATAATTTTGGTTGGTAAACTAAAGAACTAGATAGTTAAAGACATTACTTAAAATTAAAAGAACCATGTTATTTCATTTTTTAATGTGCTTTCTGTTGTTGCTACAGTTGGTGATTTTAAACACACACAAATCTCAGTTTCACAGTAAACATAGTTGTCAGAGAAGTCCCATACTTTGTTCTTGACATAACCCTGCCCCTACTTTTCATTTGTCCATTTGAATATTTTGAGACAGGGTCTTACTATGCAGCCAAAGCTTACCTCAAACTTGCAACCCTCCAGCCTCGATCTCCTAAATGACAGAAATACAGACTGCATTGCCACATTAACCTGTGCTTATTTTTGATGGCTTTTGTTTGTACCTTTATTTCAACCCATCTAGAATCCATTAGTTAAGTGCTCAGAAAATAAATGCTAATAGAGATAGAGCATCTTGAATGAAGGCAGCAGTTTTCTAATAATTATCATTAATTTGGCTGCCTTCATTATGTCTTTTTTTTTCATATTATAAAAGAGAATAGTAACCATGTGTTATCTGACAGCAGAGAAACGAGTTTTTCTTTGTTTGAAAAGTTCACTTTAAAGGTTTCTGTGATGCATGACAGCTTTAAAATAGGGTTTCCGTTTCAGAATGAATTGCCTGTGGCTGCTCTTCAGGGCTGCTTTATTCTGTGCCTATTCGTCCTATTTGAACATAAAAACAGTGCATATTTATATCTCTGATAGGCCAATAAATAAAATGCTGCTTCCTTTAGGGGAACTAGTTTCCTGGGAACTAATTAGAGTCAGTAGCAGAGGAAAGCGGGGATTGAAAATATATTTCAGCATCTTCCATTGCTCTGCTTATTCCGTACTTGTGCATTCCTGCACATTTGTGCATGCAGGAAGTGGTGACAACACATTTCACAGTTAGGATGCACCTGTGACATCCTTGTGGCTGTGGTGTGATTGTTGCTGAGCATCAGCTCTTCACTCTTCTCCTCCACAGCTTAAATTCCACTTACTAGATAGAGGACATTCTTTATGTACAAGGAAATTAAACTTATTCAGGCGTACACCTGCTGCATAAGTAGAGAAATGCCTAGGGTGCTATTTGCATTTTAAAGATTCAGTTTCTACTGCTATCAATATGGCTAATTGCTGGATCATTTTATTAGAATTACTATTTTATCAAAGGAAATCTAGAAAAAGTCCTCCATTGTGTAAGATTATTGTCCAAACATGGCAGGTGGGACTATAAAATCTCTAGATTTAAAATACAAGAAGTACCATTTATACATGAAAATGCCATTGCCAGTGTTCACTGTACTCTCGGAAATTCGTTGTTTAATCATAAATCGTTTAAGTATGCAGTTTGACTCACTGGAGAATTGCTTTAAAATGTAATTATATATAATGCAAATACAATTTTCTATAGTATTTCTAAAAATGTTATGGTATCATAATTTTTATTAGGGTATTCAAAAAGAATTTTACCTAATTAGAACATTAGTATGTGATTTCACAAAGGTTCAAAGTACTATTTCATTCCAGTTTTACATTAGGATCATAGTCTTAGTGTAACTAAATAACTAGGAATCATATTGAGAAAGTGTTTAGAGGGCATCACTACTGGCAGTCCAGTGAAGATAAAAGGAAGCAGGTAGATTCAGCATAATATATTAACTAGTTTTCTGCCATTGTGATAAAATGCCTGAAAAAATCAACTAGAGGAAAAAGCTGTATTTTGCTCATAGCTTTGGATGTTATAATCCATGACCAATTGGTTCTGCTGTCTCAGGCCTCTGATGTGGCTGAGTGCTATGATGCTGAGCATATGCTATAATAAAGCCGATCACATCAGGGCAACCAAGAACCAAAGAGGGGTGATAGATAAGGACAAAATGTATATTTCAAAATTATGACACCTAATGATCTACTTGCTCCAGCATGAACTCACCCTTGTAGTTCTCAAATAATCTGTTGTCATGAAATTAGTCCACTGTTAAGGTGGGGGCCCAATACCTACCAATTGCCCCACCTCTGACATTGTTGAATGGGCATCAAGCTTTCAACACATGAGTTTCAGGGGCATTCTTCCTACAGAAACCATATTTGTTTACATATAATTCAAACAGAAAGATAAGGGTTTATTTTGCTTTCTTTTAATTCAATACCAGTTGTTTTATTGCAAACCTGAAGTTACTGTTATTGTTCTTAAGTATGTTGTGCTAAGCTAATCACTTGTTTGAAGATAATGATATATTTAAGGCATATTCTATGCCTGGCTTTTTCTGTAGACAATAATTTAAAAAGAATGTATTTCATATCTAAATCATGAGATGAGATTGGTTTAAAATCTATACTTGAAGTCAGAATATTCAAAGTTATTTTACAATATGTTCTGAGGAAAACTACATTAAACAGTTCATTAAATAGGTCCTAGTGATGAAGTCTGATGATGTAGACCAGTATTAGAGTTCTTGTCTAGCATACACGACTGTGGCAAGCTTTCTTGGATCAACTGCCCCCCCAATTATGACATGGAGACATTATTATGAATGTCTTAGCTTAGGTTTGTTTCTAGCTACCTATTTTTTCAATTAAATTAACCCATTTCTATTACTCTACATGCTGCCCTGAGAATCATTTACCTCATCCACGTGCTGTTCATCCAGCTTTCCTAATTCCTTCATGTCTGTCTGCCTATCCCCCTCCCCTGTCTATCTATTGGCCATTTAGATTTTTATTAGATTAATTAGGTTTTTTAGGCAGTCAAGGTGAAACAGCAACAAATCTTTACATAGTTAACCAATTATTCTACAACACAAACAAATGAAACACATCTTTACATAGTTAAACAAATGTTCTATTCCACACATGCAACCATCTCAGCTTGATCACCAGCACCACATAAAAGAAAGGAAGAAGAAAAAAAAAGAGGGGGAGGAAGAAAAAACAAAGATGGGGAGAGAAATTAAGTAAGGAAGAAAGAAAGAAAGCTAGAAACAAAAATTCGAAAAGTATGGTTGGAATTGAATATGCAGATTTCTGTAACTGGGAGTAAAAGATGAAGATGGATTAGCCACTAATGTACTATTTTTGTTTTGTTGCAGCTTTCAGCCCTAGAGAGGCAAATCTTTGACTTCCTTGGTTTCCAGTGGGCACCCATTCTTGGAAATTTCCTGCACATAATAATTGTCATACTGGGTTTATTTGGAACCATTCAGTATAGGCCACGTTACATCATGGTGGTAAGTGTTATTATCATGTCTCTTCATATGAACACTATGAAGTTACTATAAGAAAATGAATAAAATAATTTGTAAGCCCCTTTGATATGACATGTTATTGTTCTACCTCTGAAATGCTTGATTGTGCAAATAAATGTCAATCTGTGGAATAGACAATGCAAAGAATGCCTCACCCAGAGCAAAGCCATGTCTGTTAAGTCTGAGATGACCGCATCATTCATGGCATAACTGAATTCAAAGTTCACAATTTAAGACAGGCTTTGTTAGAGTAGAAGGCTGGATGATACACTTGATGCTATGATGAGATGCAAGGTACATGCATTGTCTGTCATTGTATTCAGGTACCATTACCTGTCAGTGAAGCCCCAGGAACCTTAGAAAGCAAACTTATCTAGCACAATGGTTTGATCACCGAATACAATAACACAAAATTTTAATTAACATATGGTATCATAACTGTATGAACACAATAATGTTTAGTATATTCTCATATTTTTGTTTCCTGTTTGTTAAAATTGAATCACTTGATGGTCAGCCTGTTCTGTGGTAGGCACTTGAGATGCACACAGTAGCCTATGTGTAATTGATGCCATTCAGAGCACTTATTTGTCTTTTCTATAAAAATAAGACAGAAATATAGGTTACTTACATAGGAGATTTATGGGAAGTAATGAGTTATAATAATGTAACTAGTTATAAATAGGAGTAACATCCTCTAAGATGTCCACCAGGCCTATAAATAGGAAATATTCTGTGAAATTTGGGGAGTGAAGAACATTTGATGTCCCTCACTTTGCTGTAGGGCTAAGCAATTCTACTTTTGACTATCATCTGAGCTACTATATGATTTACTAGAAAGAGATGCCCTAGATATGGAATATAGCATAAAATGCCTTAGTGTTTTCATAATATCAAGTTATTATTGAACTTTAAATAGAAGTTGTCTCAGGTGACTTTATTTTTTGCTATTGTTCTTTTACTAAGGCTCCAAATACCAGATGGTTAGAAAGTCAAGGGTGTATACAGAATGAGGTTGCGGGTGTGTTTAGAGACATTGTTAGTGCTATGCCTTTTCCCCATAACCACTTCTGGGTTGAAGTTTCTTCTGTCGTTCCCCTCTATATGGAGATGCCTGTGTGCTTCCAGCTTTTGTTTTTCACATGAGTTGTTTGCAACTTTCTTAAATTGTTAACTAAGTCCTATTATAAGCTCCATAGGAGGTCGAGGTCAAGCATCTCCTTGATCAGGCCCAAGTTCATTCTCACAATCACTCCCATCTTGTCTTCTTTCCACTTTCATTTCCTCTCCTTTTAACTTCCTTCCTTCTTTCCACCTTCTCTCCTAACTACCTTCATTCTTTTATCCACTCATTCATTCATTCAAAATGTCTGTCATTTACTTTCAACTAAAAGTCTGACATCATGTTATATGTGGAGCATAAGTAACGCAGACTTGGCCTCCCTTCCTCTCACAGTCCAGAAGGTGCCTTTAGTTTCAGACATTGTATTATGTATGAAACATAAGTAACATAGTCTTGATCCTCCTTTCGTCTCCAAGTCCAGAATGGGGCTGTCTTTAACTTTCAGATTCAGGTCTCCTCTTGCTGCCACTAAAAAGCTGTTTCCTCTTGAGTTACTCAGATGATTTGTAACTTAACCATTTTCCATCTTTAAAAAAAAAAACCATTAGAATTAATTGCAGATCACTAGTTGTAAAGTCAGGAGAGAGTATCCACTAAAAATAAATAAATAAGTAAACAAACAAACTTAGAAACAGTTGACTCGTGTGTCATAAAGCAAAGGAATGCTAGCACACAGTTTCAGTAGCACAGTAATCTTCCTGAGCAGTAACCTGTACTCTGCATGAAAAGAACCTTTCTGAACAGATACCTTGTGCTTGTGATCCTTTATGCATTTGTCTCACATGGGAAGCACCTTAGCTTCTTTTCCTATGACAAAATACACTGACAAAAGCAACTTAGGAGATGGAGAGTTTTCTTGAGCTCACAGTTTTATGTTACCATCTATCATTGCTGGCAAGTCAAGGTGACAAGAACCGGAAGTAGCAACATCCATAGTCTAGAGCAAGGAACAGTCCATTAGGACAGGCATGTGCTCAGCCCATTTTCTCCTTTTTATAGGGTCTAGGACCAAAACCCAGGGATGAGGCCAGCCACTTTTAGGCTGAGTCTTTTCACATTGATTTATGTGATCAAGACAGCCACCAACAGACAGGGCCACAGGCTAGCTAATATAGACGATCCCCCATTGAAACTCTCTTCCCAGTTGATTCTACATTATGCCAAGTTGACAATTAAAACTTAGTATCACAGGCAATTTGTAGCCATGCCGGAATTTGGATTCCCTCATAGGCAATGTGATTGGCTGGGAAACAGGGCAGGACTAGTTACACCAAGGACCATTTAAGGTTTAGGATCTGGTGATGAAACTCCAGGAAGCTACCAAGACGAGTGGAACCAATACACATCTGCTTCTTCTGTTCCATGCGGAGTTTCCTGAGCAAGTCACTTCGCTATCCCATCGAGCCAGCCCTTCCTTACCTATAAACTAAGGACACTAAAACAGAATTCACAGGGTTCTTAGAAAGATTAAGTCAAGTGAAGCATTTGTCATGGCGGTCTTGCGTTCTCATCAATTTCTTGCTTTCTTTCTCCCACTCCCTAGGAGTTTGGTAAGATTTTAAATAAAATGAAAAAACATGAATGACACACCACATTAAAAGAGACAATGATAAGAACAAAAACATGAAGTGTTTGACTTGTAGGTGTTTACCTTTAAAGATTTTGGAAGGTCTGAAGCTTCCTTTTCCTTACATGAAAGTTACAAGGAAGGCAGGAAAGCAAAAGAAAAGAAACCAGAAATAGAAGTGATGCAAGTAACTCCCCAGGGAACCTTGTGAACGCATGTGGTGTGAGAGCGAGAAAATGGAATACGTGTGCACAGAAGCTCCGTTGCACTCAGTGTTCTCTAAGATTCTGCCTAATAAATGAGATTTGCATGTGAACAAATTATAAATCATGCTCATGACACAAAAGCAAAGAGCAGAGTGATCAATCATTAAACTGTATGGAAAGATATGTGCCCAAGGAAATGCTGAGCTGAGCCACAAATACCAGGCAGAGGGGAAGAGGCTGGAGAGGCAGGCAGGAGCTGAGGGCACTTAAAATAAGATACCCCATCACTGGCTGTTCCAAGTCTCTTCCCTTGGCTTAAATATTTGCCAGGCCACTGCCCAGTTGTTCTCACTCCATTTTCACACCATTTCACCTCTGGAACCCTAGATTCTACTCCCTCAACCTCCTTCCTTTGTTGGGAAGCTCCTGGAAAGATGGAGCATTTCTAAATGTATTATTTTCTAGTCACCCAGCCCTACTAAAGCATAATATTCTCTGAATATTTAATGAATGGATGGCTTTGAACTTGTAGATGTCCTGTGATGATTCCAGCCCAGAAATCCTTTCAAATCCTTCTTCCCTGAGGATTCCCACAGCAGGTCTCAGCTCCCAGGCACTTCTACAGGGAGCCTGACCCTTCCAGGCTCTCATCAGACATCTCATGACACACTGAAGTCCTTTTTTTTTATCCCATGGTTGTACCACAGTTGCAGTTTAACATTTAGATTGCAAGAGGTTTTATCTTCAAGTCACATCTGCATTTCTTTGTGTCTCCATCCTTTTATGTGCCAATTACACTTAATCCACTTCAGACTAACAAATGCTTTGGAGTACCAGGTACATGCTAAGTGCTTGCTCAGAAACTAATAAAATATGATATCTTCTGCTGCAACAGTTTAATGGAGCTTAAAGTATAGCAACACATGGCAGTTAAGTTACTGCCATTTCTGACAATAGATGGAGTTTGCCATACTTGACCTCAAAGAATTAATCACCCTTATAAAAATGATTTAGTTAAATGGCTAAGCAGAAGTTCTCCAGTATCTATCATCAAACTTGCATATAGAGTGTGAATTTTAAACTGGAGAAAATGGTTTCTTTGCTTTCCTGTGCCTTTTGCCTCTTGATTACCTCTGGTGTTTTCTATGGGCCATGTGCTGTTCTGCCTACTCGGGGACACATTCTGAGCCTTCCACTCTTGGAAATTTCATAATCCTTCAGCTAAACTGTCACTTGGTAAAAAGCCTGCTCTATACTGGTCACCTGGTCAGGACTAAGTGCCTAGTCCTGACCATGAGCACAGATTCTGCTCACTTCCTACTTTGCCCTTCCTAATTATCACAGCCTCTGAATTTCACATTGTATTCAGCATGTGCTCTTGAAAGCAAACTTGAAGCCACTCGCTGCTGCATTCTACCTCAAGCTTAACTTTAGATGAAGAAATAGTAAATGAATGTAAGGTTTTCAGTTGGAGTGACTTTATTTCATCACTGGCTGTAAAGCCTTGGAACATTGATTTGATTTTAAAATTGCCATATTTACCTCCTCTGTTTCATAGATTGGTTTTAATAGTCAAATATATGTGGCAGGTTTGGCTTGGGCTTACCTAGACCAAATCTTGATACATGGTTAACTGTTACTATTCATTACTTTCTTTATTTTTGCCTCCATTCTGCTTTACTTGCTAATAAGGTACAGGGATGGCAGGTTCCCTTTAGGTTCTTCTCACCAAAATGATAAATTCCAGGAGAGAGCAGAAGAATAGAAAAGCAAAGAGTCTATCACGTTTGTTTCATAGCATATTGTGAGCAAATGCTGGGGTAGATTCATACATATACGGAAGAATGACTGGCCAAATTATCTTAGTAAACATAATTCATATTAAAGACTAATACTCAATGGTAGAAATGCAGACTGGAAAACTTATAAAGTGTTTATTTCAAGTACCACATGCTGAAATATCCTCATAAGATGAGGAAATGTTTAGAAAACCACACAAACCAATGTTCTCATTTTCTGCGGGAATAGGACTTAAAATATGTGTGCAGAGTTTAAGGAAACACGGGAAAGATTATGCACAGTTAATTTTAACATGGAGAAGTCAAATCATTTATACTTTAACTCTATCTAACCTACATAGATATACAAGCCTGTTGCCATGCTTCATACTAACCAAAAGATATTTGTCAAAAATAGGCCATCTCACACTAAATATCATGAGAACTAATTTGTTAATTAAAACAACCCACTTCAAAAACAAGGCCGAATAGATAGCCAGTCTCTAAGGTGATGACCTAGTATTTCTGACTAGGTAAATGCCCATCCATGGATTGGTCTTGTTAAGATTCTCTGCTGCATGTCTGTGGTCCATGCAGTCTCTCAGCTGCACTTTGAAGTGTATCGTTTATATTCCACACAAACAAAAATTCAATAATGCAGTCATTGTTTTCAACTAGCACTATATTAGAAGGAACTTTCCATCTCCCCCCACCAAAAAAAAATCTGTCATGTTCCTACCACTTGTGACATATCTATTACAAAATACAATAAAAAAAACCTGTCATTCCCAAAACATTATGTTACAGAATTTATATAAATGAACCAAATTTTAATAAACTCGTAATCTGATTAAATTGTCCTCTGATTAGGTGAAAAATTTAGTGAAGAGTCAATTTACAGATATAGTCCCTTTCCTGAGATGGTTTGCAATAAAGCCTACCAAATTAAGCATGTTGACTCTCGAGCAGGCTGCCAGGTTTCATAGGACAACTCTGACACTCAATAGGGAACCAAGAAATGATCCATTCTTCAGGGTTTTAATATGGTAACTTGAGTGATAGGCCCCTTGGAAAGTGCCTCGTGCAATACTAGGAACACAGGAAGTGTCATAATGACCTTTGTTACAGTCAAATGTGTAGAATTAGGCAGTTGCCATCATGTCTGTGAAAGGTCAGGAACAGAATCTATAATACAACTTGCAGGAGATCTTTCATTCTCTTAAGGTACTGTTTGTGCTGGGATTTTTGAAAAGGCTTTGTTTAATTTTACCTTTGTTATACAGTGGATATTCTCAGTACTTGGGGATTTAGAGTTGAGCTGTAATGATTAAGAATTACACTGTTTTTCTTGGGATGAAGTCCCATGATAGAGAGCTTGCCTATGGTCTGCAAGGGCCTATTTTAGATCCCAGTATAGGGAAAAAACAACAACAAAAACCTGCCATGGCGTAGACTTGCTTCAGTTGATGTCCTTTCCTTAACCATTGTTGCTGAAGTTTTCCTGCTGACTTGATGTTCAGATTGTCTCCCTGATCTGAGACACTGTTAATTAATTCAGAGTGTACATCATCAAGCTGAGTACCCTCTGATTAGCAGAACATCTATATTTCTTGTAGCTGTGATGTATAAAAATGTTTAAGGATATAGATAAGCTCTTTTCAATATCCATGGGTATAGTGCATGGTTCAGAAAAGTGGGTTTGAATGCCTTTGGTAATAAATAGCTAAAGTCATCTAAACCATCATGACTTAACATAGATTGTATGACCTCTTTAATATGTGTTAATGTAAATTCAGTGACTGTGGCGCTTTACATAATTTTATTATCTTGTTTTGAAAAAGCAAAACACTCTCAGAAAAGAATAATGTTACCACAAATATATTCACTCAGTTTACACACCTACATGAGATCATGTTTAAGTCCTTTGAGATCATAAATAGCAAAGGCACAGTAAATTGAATCTTACAGATAAACACTTTTAGTAAACATTTGATAGGATAATGGTTTTTAATGTAGTACCTAAAGTTCATATTTCTGTTATTTGACACAGAAAGAATAATATATAGAAAATAATTTTAAAATGTTGTTTTAAGAACAGGATACAATGAATGCAATCACTCAGAAAGAAATAATTTAACTTACAGACCTGTTTCAAGAATTCACAGATTTTTCCAGTACAATAAGATGAGCATGCAAACTATTGTATTTAATAAGTCAACGATGCTTAGTGCATATACTATCTCCAGTTACCTAGGACTCTGCATATCCATACAGGAGTCTGATCTGGACTGCATTAAATTTGATTACCTAATGCTCTTATTGATGCTGTTTCTGACCTTTCCCAGCAGGATGTGAATGAAAGGTATTTTTTTTATAATAGAAATCTGCTGTTCATTTGCTCATTCTCCTAGTTATTAATTCTTGGATTTTAAAGACAGTTATATTAATTTTTTAATTCTTCTCACATATATTACATCCCAACCACAGTTTTCCCTCTCTCTCTTCCTCCAGAGTTCCCTACCCTCTCTCCTCGGAAAAGAGCAGGCTTCCCAAGGACATCAACCAAATATGACATAATATACTACAATAATGCCAGGCATACTCTGTCACATCAAGGCTGGACAAGGCAACCCAGTAGGAGGAAAAAGGGCCCCACAAGCAGGCAAGAGTCAGAGATGCCCCCCACTCCCACTGTTAGGAGTTCCACAAGAACAGCAAGCTTCTCAGCCATAACATATGCAGAGGACCTAGGTTAGACTCCTACAGGCTTCCTGGTCTCTGCAAGTCCCTGAGTGTCCCAGTCAGTTGATTCTGTGGGACACATTCTTCTGGTGTCCCTGACCTCTCTGGCTCCTCCGATCCTTCCTTCCCTCCTCCACAGGACTCCCTGAGCTTTGCCTAATGTTGGGCTGTGGGACTCTGCACCTGCTCCCATTGGTTATTGGGTGAAGTCTCTCTGGTCTCTTTGATGACGATTCTGCTAGGGTCCTGTCTCAGAACATTCTGCAGGCAAGACAAACTGTAGATCGAAGGTTCTGTGTCTAAGGTGGTGTCCCAGTCCCTCCACTTGAGGCCTTGCCTTGTTACAGAACATGGCAAGCTCAGGTTTTTTGCCCCCCATTATTAGGAGTCTTTGCTAGAGTTACTCTCAGAGATTCATTCCATGGAGTTTCCATTGAACAAAATGCCCCCTAATCCTAGTGCTTTCTCCCAGTATTTTCTCCCTCCCTCCTCCCATTTGATCCCTCCTGTTCCCAACCCCAGCTGCCCCCCAGTACACCCCTCAAAATCTATTCTATTACCCCTTCCCAGAGAGATCCTCGCATCCCTCTTTAATTCCTCCTGTATGTATTCACTTCTAAGTGGATATTAGCTGTCAAGTAAAAGATATTCATGCTACAGTCCACAGATTAAGACAGGTGAAAGAACAGGCTAGATTAAAGATATTTTATGTGGTTAAACTTTCACTATTTGATTACAGGAGCAGGAGCTCTACTCTTAGTAAAATAACACAACAGAGAAGAGTTGGTAACTTTACTCCACATGTCCATTCTCAAAGTCTTTATTCAGAGACATGAAGTTCCACTATGACTAAATTTCTAAAATTAGACAATTTACAGAAATGAGTTGGATATTTATATGTCCAATCTATCTGAATATTTAGACATGTTTATGTTATGTAGGTGGGTAGACAGACAGACAGGCAGACAGACAGACAGACAGACAGACAGATAGATAGATAGATAGATAGATAGATAGATATAGACAGGTATAGATATACTGGTGGCTCACAGAAAACTGCATTACTCTGTTCTTTTGAAAATATAATACACAGAAAACAGAAATCACATGGACACTCAGATTTAAATTGGATCTGCAAGTCAGACGAGCATTTTACAAATCTATTTTTCTTGATATCCATTGCCAAACACCCTAATAGTCATGCCAGAAACCCCATCCAAGGACTGAGGAATCTGGATGCAGAGAACCATGGCAGGCTCTGGGAGTCCAATTAGCGAGAAAGAGAAGGGTTTATATGAGTGAGAATTGTTGAAACCAAGGTTGGATAAAGCACAGGGAAAAATAGCCAAACAAATGGAAATACATGAACTATGAACCAAAGGCTGAGGGGCCCCCAACTGGATCAGGCCCTCTGAATAGATCTCTGAAGTATTCGAAGGCCACCTGGCCAAACATCCTAATTGTCATGCTAGAAACCCCATCCAATGACTGAGGGAACCGGATGCAGAGATCCACGGTCAGGCCCCAGGTGGAGCTCCAGGAGTCCAATTGGTGAGAAAGAGGAGGGTTTGTATGAGAGGGAATTGTAGAGATCAAGGTTGGAAAAAGCACAGGGACAAATATATAAATGAAAGGAAACACATGAACTATGAACCAATAGCTGAGGAGCCCCCAACTGGATCAGGTCCTCTGGATAAGTGAGACAGTTGATTAGCTTGATCTGCTTGGGAGGCATTCAGACAGTGGGACCAGGTCCTGTCCTCAGTGCATGAACTGGCAGCTTGAAACCTGGGGCCTATGCAGGGATACTTGGCTCAGCCTGGGAGGAGGGGACTGGACCTGCCTAGATTGAATCTACCAGGTTGAACTCAATCCTCAGGGGAGTCTTTGCCCTGGAAGAGATGGGAATGGAGGATGGGCTGGGGGGAAGGCGAGAGGTGGGTGGAGGGGGGAGAACAAGGGAATCCGTGGCTGATATGTAAAATTAAATTTAATAAATAAATTTAAAAATGAAAAAAAATAAAGTAAAAAAGAGAAAACAGGAATAATTGGATTTTAAATCTTAGGGTAACTTATAAAAAGGGTTTTTTTTTACTATACCTTATTTCCTAACCAAGGACTTATATTTACTGACATTTCTATTACTGATTGATTTCAAACATGTGGTTTTCATCTCTGCTTTTTTCTCTCTTTCTCTCAACCCTTTCCTGTCCAGTATACAGTGTGGACTGCCCTCTGGGTCACCTGGAATGTGTTCATCATCTGCTTTTATTTGGAAGTAGGTGGCCTCTCTAAGGTAAGTTTATCATGCCTTTAAAATACACATTGAAAGGAGACAGCTAAAAATTAACTACTATGCTATATATTTGTATTATTATAGGTAAGTGGAGAAATATAGAATATTTAGTCATAGTACTAATCAAAATAGTCCATGTTGGCATGTGTCACATATCTGTAATTACAACATTTGGGAAGTTGAGATTGGAGGATCATATCATACTTGACTGCATAGTGAATTCAGAGTCAGCATGTGCTATATGAAACCTTACATTAAAATAATGTCTATATTCTATTTATGAGAAAGTAAACTTGGAGGAATGCATGCTAATGTAAAGACTTTCAAAATGATTTTTGTTTGTTATGCTCAAGTTAAGACTCATCTTCTAGTGAATTCTCATGTCCATTGATGAATACATAGAATCACAGTGATATCAGTCCTATATATATTGAAGTAAAGGGGGCTTTGAATATTCATGCTTAAAGTAGAAAAAGCATTGTAGAGAATGGAAACTCTATAGATATCAGTGGAGCTTCATCTACTACTATGTGAACACATGGGTATGGTGATTTCTGTTCTGAGGTTCTCATCAGACAGAAGACTTTGATCTTAATACAATATGGTACAAATGCTATTTCTCCCTGTTTACGATGGTTATTTTCATCCAGCTTCCTGAAAACATGTCTTTTGATTATTACTAAAATGTAAAAACAAAGTATGCTAAATTTCTAATTATCATTCTTAAAATTTTGTTACCTTGCATAGTTTTCACTGTAAAGAAGAAACATACAAGTAGAATTCCAAAACTGGTTTAAGGAAGCTTATTATTTTTAAATATTTTGTTATCAAATAAGTTTGAACTAATCTTTCTATTGCTTTCTGACAGTCTGTAGTTGTACACAGCATGTGGTCCTCTATTTGCATTTGGGGTCCTGACTTTAAAACTCTACCTTGATGACTACAAATGCCTTTAGAACTTTTGGACTCTACTGAAGTACATATGGAACAAAGCATGTCTGATTCAGCCAAAGGGTAAATAATGTTGAGGGATTTGC